AGTACACTCATGTGAGTGTGCACATCTACTAATATATATATATATATATATATATCATGATTCTCTCCATTCCATAGTTGTAATGAAAGTTGTCCGTTACTTAATAAATTACATGAAACAAGAGCTCTATGAGGCTTCACCACTAACAAAATGAAAGTGAACTATGTCTTGCAACATCATGCCATATAATCCTACTATTTCAATTTCAACACATCTTAATATTCTCAAAATAAAGAACATTTCAACATGTCTTAATATTTATTGAAGTTCTCAATATCATATGCAGTAGTTTCAAAAACTCAAAAAAGTGCCCAGAATTTGTAATCGAAGACTGAGATTTACTCATGCTGTGGCGCCACAATAACAAGGTCAAAATATATAATAGTGATTATGAAATCTGAGTTAGAAATTCTGGTTTGGTTTGCTTGACTTTTTGTTTCACATGTCAAGCTTTGAATTAGGAAACATGGCCAATTGAAGAGGGAAGGTAGTGTCATGTGTTTGAAACTAGTTACTCAGTTAAGCAAATAAAGGTTATACACTGATAAAAAACAAAACAAGTGTTGTTCCTCAGTTAAGCAAACTAGTTACTTACATGGCAACTTGAAATGAATACGAATGATGTTGTTCCTTGTTTTTGTGCAAGCAAATGTTCTGCATATGCATCTATTACTTGTGTTGAAAACAAAAAACAAAACAAGGAATTAATATAAATCAAACACTAAAATGTTATTTAAATGAGTTACAAATTCAACTTACAATGCCTGCCAAATCTTGACCCTTCAATATTTTGTCAATGTCATTTAAGTAGACATAGGTTCCATGGTGAGATCCTTGCCACACTGGTTGATCCTTGAAAAAAAGGTTATTAGTGTTGGAATAATAAATTTATTAATATTTTTGGAATATTTGATACTTATAAATTCAATATGAGTTAATGATAAACAGTCGGCAAAAGTGAACTACAGGAGTCAAGAGAGAAGATTGTTACTTTTTTTTTGTATTCGCCCAATGTGCAATAAGATTTTGCCTTGATTTTTCTGGTAGGATGTTGAAAATTTCGTTTGAAGTTTCCGATTTCTTAATTGCAGGCTGCTATTGTGTGTGTTGTTCTTCCGGGTACTTGTTTGCCTTAACCAATGTTGCAATTCTCTCATGGAGTATTTTGATTTCTTCATCTTTCCTTTGCATTTGTTTTTTGTGCTGATCTTGTATTTCCTTTTTCAGCTTGTTGAGTTGCTGCTGCAGGTTATCATTTGCAGTTTGAAGGATGTCCCTTTGCATTTGTAACTTTTCCATTTTGAGCATGTCGTCTTCTATCCTCTAAAAAACAAGTACTTCTACCAGATTTGGATCCACTTCAGGCTCTTTGTCAACTTTGTTTCCTTCACTCTTTTGTGATTCAAAAGGTACTGCTTTCTTTTTCTTTTCAGGACATATTTTGTGTGGAATTGGTTCCCATGTTTCATGTTTGGATTTGTCTTCAGTCAATGTTTGTTCTTCTTTTTCAGAAATTTCAGCCTAATTTTGTTGCTGAAAATCAGTATCTTCATCTTCATCTTCATCTTTATCCTGAATTTCTCCTAGCAGCATTCAGTATATTTTTTTCTCTTCATCTGTGCGCTTCAAATTGTTCTCCTATATAGATGAAAATTAAAAAAATGAATGATATGATACAAATTTTAGAGATAAATTTCTCATAGAAAATTTTATCACTCAATTAGGAAAATTAAACAAATTTATGATTGTTATAGCAAATTTTATCACTGAACTAGGCATAGTAAGTAAACCTGTCATTGTATATCAAATTTTATCACTGAATTAGCAAAAGTAAGCTAATAAAGTAAATATAAGACAAAATGTCTAATTCAATTCATTTTTACGGATAAATTTATCAATACAGAAACCTAATCAAATCTAGTCGAATATAAAGTAACACAAATAAAGTAAATATGAAACAAAACTCATGCACAGTAGACAAATAGAAAAAAATTCATTGCATAAAAGAATTTATCACTCAATTAGGTATACAAAGGGAAATTTGTCACTCAATTAGGCAAATTAAATAAATTTATCAGTGTGAACAAAAATTTATCACTGCATAAGAAAATTTATCATTTGTTTAAACAAAACAAAGGTTAGCATTGCATACCACAATATCTTTTAGCTCTTGCAATGATGAACTTGCCAATTGATGTCACAAACATGTGATGTTCCATTTAGCAAATCTTGGGATTGCATTTTTTGGCATTGGGTTTGATGGTGCTTGTGTGTTCGCATATCCAATACTGTTGAAGACAAAAAAATTGTTATAAACAAGTATTTAGTAAACGTAAATATTATAGTTTATAAGTTATAAGTGAGATATTTACTTACCAATATGACCATCACACATCCGGACACTTTATCAATTTGGTTGATGTTTCTTTCTATTGATTTTGTGAGCTGTTGCTTTGCTGCGTCGCACCAATCGTGAGACTTCATTTTGTCAATATCCTCAAGATATTTCATGAACCCCCAACCAATTGTAGTGCCCGTACTAGGATATAACAACAGCAAGCAAATCAAGAGGCACACAAGCCTCACAACATCTTCTCTGTCTTCCTTCTTCTTACTTCTCAAAAGTTTGGTTATCAACTTTTGGATTGAAGCACTTGTCATTCTATTCTCTCTTATTTTCCTTCTTTTTACCAAATCTATGTCATCTTT